CCGACGACCTCTGGAGTCGCAGTTAGTTTCATTAACCACTAGACCGCCAGGCCTATCATCATAAAGTCTTACATCGTAACACTGATTTTATTTAAACATTGTAACATATACAAGAAGTTTAGTCAGGTAGACAGTGTATTATTTAGTTTTGGGTGCCATGTTTGCTTCGTTTGTGAGACAAACTGGGAATTTCTCTTTGATAATGACAGTTTAATGTACTTCCAAAACTTTCGACAGCTTGGTAGTTTCGACGACCTCTATTGACCTATTTCATGTGTATGAGTTCACGACATCATTTAGGAATTTAGTAATACGCTATTAGATTTAAATTTCTCTACTTTTACCCCAAATTTGTTGAATATATGATGTAAGTCATCAGGCAAAACACCGACAGATAGGTAGCTCTATATACCCCTTAACTTAACATACCTGGACGGAAAAAAACTATTGTCAGTTTTACATCGTCGTGAAGTCGTTATTTTTTGCAACTTAACCTTTATATCATCAACAACCTTTAGTAGTTCACTGCTTGACATAATATCTGCTGTTCCTGGACCCCTTCTATCTTAGGCGCGGAGTGCCGCGCCTAAGATAGAAGGGGTCCAGGAACAGCGGTCAGCGGTCCATGTGTTTTAGTCGGTTCGATTCCAACACACACAACCCCTCCGCAAACCCCGGCGGGGTGACGGCCCGAGGGGGTTTACAGGGGGGGCTCGCCTTAGAAAGGAGGTTTTGGCCTATTACGAGTATACCACGGTGGCCAGACGCTCGGTATAGGTATAGTTGTCAAGTTTTACAGTGCTGTTGTTCTGCGTAGTTTGCTCTGTTAGTCGGTTGTTACGATACCCACGGAATGAATGAGGGTGGTGACACTTCGTATTCTTAATCCGTCACCATACGGACAAAACCTTAATATAAATCTTAATAAAATTTGAGAGAGAGGTAGCCAGAATGCCGATTGTTGTAGTAAAATATATTCCATCGGGGCGAGAGCCGGGCTCCGGCACACACGGCTCGTCTCGACTGCAGAATCCTTTGCTTGGTTTACATCGAGTGACTAAGTTTACCAGAAGTCCAACGCTTCCTCCCCCTGTGTCCCCTAATTCTGTTAAGGAGGGGGTGGGGGGTGGCTCTTAAAGCACGGGTACAGTCGCGTAAAAAAAATCATACTACTAGGTGCAAAAACTAACATTCAAGCAAGCAGAGCCGTGGTCAAAACTAGGGTAATAATAATTACCCCGTGAAAATCTAGGCCATGGTACATAATAAGTACCTATATACACCCTTTTTTACAGTTGTCATATATTTTACAGAAGTAAAGAATATCTTCCGGGTAAGTCCCGCTCAGCGTGTGGCGGTGTCGTGTGTTTACGGTAAAAGTGCGCGCTCTAATGATTCTGTTTAAGGGTGTGTCCGCTGTAATAAGCGGAGCAGAGAGCGATTTTAAAACTTGCTCTAAAAAGAATAGATTTTATGAACTTGTAATCGCTAGTGCTGAGAGTCGATCGGTAAATTTTTAAGGAATGTTATGACGGCGCATGTGCGTCCCACCTTTGTCGCGGAGGTACACATCGTGGGGTAATCCATAAGTTTAAAGTTGCTCTGGAGTGAACTATGCTTTTAATTTTGAAATGATAAAATTGATAATCAGATGACCTTCTTGACAAGGAACTAAAGTTACCGCCATTGCTCATAACTCAAAGAATAAGCATGCTGCAGTGGCAATAAGTGGTCACGTTTACCAAGATACCAATATATGTGTATTTATACACTAGGTGTGGCCCTGACAGGGATAAAAAGACCATATGTATCTGGTATTAATAACCCTTAAGTGTAGTGTAGTGACGGATTAAGAATACGGAATGTCACTATCCCAATTCATCCCGTGGGTGTCGTAAGAGCCGACTAAGGGCACAATTCAACGCAGGACGCACCTCAAAAAAAAATTAAAACTACACTACACAGACACAAACCCTATACCAACCCGTCTGGCCAGCGTGGTATGCCAAAACCTCTTTTCTAAGGAGAGGCATATGTCCAGCAGTGAACTAGTAAAGGCTGTTGATGAATAAAGATGAATACCGCTTCTATAAGTGACCCGCTCCGCTAACCTCATACATACCTACGTTAATAAATAATATTTCGTGAGTGCTTTCAAGTGTGAAGAACATTGTGATCGCTAAAGAAAATGAATGTTTTTTACAGGAACCATCAATTTCCTATAACATTCCATTATATCAGGTGGAGCAATCTATATTCTGTTGTAGACCGTCAAAGAGATATTACGTATATCTCTATATAGTCTAGATAAACCAGTCATTTAACTGTTTTGACACGAGATTTTTGACATTTTAATACTTTACTAATATTAATATTTCATAAATTGACTACTCAAATTTAATTTAACCTTTTTATTCAATAGAGATCATTTATTTAACTTTATGCACTTTGAACATCGGCGGACAAAATGCCTAGGGCATTCTCTTTTAGTCAACCTTTGAGTGGTGTAGAATTATTGTAAGGTAACTACTAAGGTGAACCCGGTCCTTTTGTGTCATAGCATGGCATAAGATTAAAACATAACTAGGATTTAAAAGTATTTTCTGAGGGGCCTGTTGGTTTAGAGGCTAGTCATCTTGACTGCTAAGCCTCAGGGTTCGATTCCCACCCAGGACAAGTATTGTGTGATGAGCACTTCATTTGTTCTGTGTCTGGGTGTAATCTTATTTATAAAATTCTCGTGTCACAATGTTCGTTCCCGTACTTCTCCGAAACGGCTTGACCGATTCTCATGAAATTTTGTGTGCACATCGGGTAGGTCTGAGAATCGGCCAACATCTATTTTTCATACCCCTAAATGGTAAGGGTGACCCATCCCTAATTTTTTTTTGTTTTGCAATACAACGTCTGCCGGGTCAGCTAGTTTATCTATAATATGTCTGTATTTAGAAATATATAAGTATGTTTATCAATAGGTTGGCAACTATAGTACAGGCTCTGCCTAGTTTAGGATCAGACTACCGCGTGTGAGATATGTGAAGCTTATATTATAAAAAGAAAAAAAAATAAAAAACCTACTGCCTAAAAATGTATAGGGTGCCTACTTAAAATTATAAACAGGTAATTTTCATATACCCAGTGTCAGTCTCGTAATTAGGACGAATATAACGAGACCTCACAAACCCAAATCCATCAAGATGTTTAGACTTTAAGACGTGCTAAAAAATATACATATACACATACATTCACTTGAAAAACATTACCCTTTCGTTTGACAGAATCGGGTAAAAAACGAATGCGTGCGTTCATTGAAATGTAACGAACCGCCACAAGATAATTAAAGAGTATTTTGTCGTGTTAATTTCCTACTTCACATATACACACATGCTATTGTGTATTTTCCTTTGTAAGGAAATGTGTCGTGAACATTGCATTTACTTAAGTAAGTAGCGCTATTCTTTGTTTAAAAAAGACAACTCCCGCATTAGGAATATATATATCCTGTGTCGCGGGGGACTTTACAAACATACATGAAACGGACACAAAGTACACCCAGACTCAGAACAACAATTTGTGGATCACACAAAGTGTCGTCCCATGTGGGGTTTGAACCCACAACACTCGGCGTAGTAGGAAGCGGCGTGGCGACCGCTTAAACCACTACGCCATCCGTGAAGTCAATTATAAATGTACTATATTTTTCCGGCGGCTCCGCCCGCGTGCACGTTGGTTATCGCGGTAGAAAGTACTCGCTGATAATGTAGCTTTCCATTGGTGAAATAATTAAAACAATCGAGTTATTGGTTTAGGCGTGAAAGTGTCACAAACAAACAAACTTACTTTCACTCGACTTGCGACACTCCGACTGCACGGATGGCGTAGTGGTTTAAGCGGTCGCCACGCCGCTTCCTACTACGCCGAGTGTTGTGGGTTCAAACCCCACATGGGACGACATTTTGTGTGATCCACAAATTGTTGTTCTGAGTCTGGGTGTCCTTTGTGTCCGTTTCATGTATGTTTGTAAAATCCCCCGCGACACAGGATTTATTCCTAATGTGGGCGTTGTCTTTTTAAAAAAAAACATGTATAAAATTATAGCGATCCGCCCCGGCTTCGCACGGGTGCAATGTAGATACTACTACTACTAATGTGGTGTCAGTGTCTGGTAATTAATTATAGTATTATTATGCCAAAACTATACTACAGGAAATCTTTATATGCAATATTTATAGGCCCGCTCCTCTCGGCGGACGTATGCCTGTGACGGGGTGACGTTTTGCCCCCGCATTTGAATTCCCTGAGATCTGCTAAGATATTCATTTAAATGAAGGACTGTAAAAATATTTTGTATCTACATTGGATGCACAACGTACCTAACGTATTCATTTGGATAAGTACAATACTCTATTGTTAAATATAGCTTCCTGAATTACCCATTTTTTTTTAATTGTTACCTGGTCACTTATTAGGTAGACAAATACCCATCAAAAACAGTTAGGTCAAAAAAACTAAGAAAACGGGACTCAGAATGCAGTAGATCGAAGAGACTGGGGTTCCGTGCCTGTATGACTCGCGTGACCAAAAGCATCAAGTTTCCACGTGTCTTATAATAATAATATTAATTCAGCTTGATTTCATTAAAAAGTTAAAACCAGAATACAAAGGTAACTACTATAACAATATGTTTTTCAGTGGTGTAATCAACTGGAGTCACCACCATGGTACGACAGGACCACACTCTCCTGCTAGGACTATAAAAGAAAAAATAAATAAAGTCTCCAGCCCTAAATCCCAATCATGTTCGGTACACCCGGGAACAGTTCCATATTGTAAATAAAGTCCCAACAGATTACCACAAACTCCGGGATTGAGTGGCTAATTATTTATTTAGTAAAACAAGTTAGGTTGGGAAACGGTTGGGAATGCTCCCGGGATCATTCCGGGATTACTACGCCGATAGTTTATCAGTGATGTTTAGTTAGAGGAACTTAATTTGAAAAATGGGTTTGTTATTAGTGTTGGGATTTCGCGATATTGGTAAAATATTGCTAGTTATCAAATATTTAAAAAATTGGGTTTTTAATGATAGATAATGCGATTTTATAGCAGGAACCGCGAATGTTGACGTACCACAGGTTACAAAACATTATTTTCGGTATACTAATGCCCCAACCCCGATCTTCCTTATGCAGAGGCATTAGGCGGGCCTCTGGTTTAGTGGTTAATGACCCTGACTGCTAAGCCAGAGGTCGAGGGTTCGATCCAGGGTTCGATCCATGACATAAGATTGTGTGATGAGCACCAACATTTGTTCAGTGTCTGGGTGTTATTTATCTATGAAATGTATGTGGTGACCATAGCATATGCTCTGGCGAGTTTGGGATCAGAAGGCCGTGTGTGAGATGTGTGAGGTTATTATTAACAGTATAAATAGAAAATGAATCATCATAATCACCTTTAACTGGCCACTGCTGGACATAAGCCTCTCCTTAGAAAGGAGGTTTTTTCCTACTACACCACGCTAGCCAGACGGGTTGGTATAGGATTTGTTTTAAGTTTTACTTCTCTTCTCTCTTTTTTTACTACAGTGCTGTTGTTCTGCAGAGTTTGCTCCCTTATTCGGCTCAGGACACCCACGGAATGAATAATAGAAAATTAATAGCAATAAATATCTACTGAGTGTCACTTGACCTGTCAGCTTGTTTGCCCTGTACCATAAAAAAAAACATTACGGGGCCTATAAAATTATACAAAAATATTATCTCCTGTTCCCATTTTGCTTTTATAACGAAAATACCTGTAAAATAAATAACATTACACGGTTACAATAAAAAGGTAGCGAGCCCAATTTGTGTGGACGTGGCCCGACATCCCACTAATTAGATAATAAGGAAGATGAAAGGACGGTAGTAATTAATTTCTTAGTTAAATAACCAAAGGGCTGTTCTTGTCCAGGGTGACCTCAGCCAACTAGCTTCTAAATGTGATAGATAATTGGAAAGGTCAGTAAAGACTTGACATCAAAGTAAATTAAAGGATAATGAAATATAGTACTACAATACGCTTACGTACCCTTACTTGATTCGGAGCACTCTCTATGATATATGCGATAGAGAATGCATAGTGATGCTATATCTCTACAAAGGTAAGTAACTACTTATGGGCAGGGCAATTGTAGTTCCTTACCGTCATCACACATCAACAGCGTATAATAGTCTACTGCTAGACACAGACCTCTCCTTAGAAAGGAGGTTTTGGCCTACTTTACCACGCTGACCAGCACCATCTTTATGCACCAATAATTTCAAATTGACCTGTTGGCAGTGTGTTGTGATCCTAGCTAGTAAGCTAAATTTCCTGAGTGTAATTTTCACACAGGAAAAAATATTCTGTAGGCACACATCAAACTGTACGTATTTAAAAATATATAAGTATGTTTATTATTCATGATTTTGGCCTAGTTTGGGATGACACAGCCGTGTGTAAGATGTGTCTAGTAATTTACTTTTATTATCAATGTCGGAGAACTTAGAGCGGAACGTCAAGTCCAATCGATTTGAGCGTATTATGTATTTGGTGACTGGTGTCTGGTAACACAGTGGTGGTCAGTTCGCTGTCTTTGGAACAGGAGGCTGTAACGGTCAGTTTTTGGTGAGCAAGAGCGGAAGACACATTTATGGGGCCAACCTAAGTCCGACTTCGCCGCGTTCTGCAAGTATTTCGACAACATCTAAGCCGCGTGTATATTTATTTATATATTTAAAACATGTTGTACAAAGGCGGACTTAATGCTATGAGGTATTCTCTCCCAATCAACCTTCAGGTGATGTAGAAATATGATGCGGTAGGTGCAAAATGAAATATTAAATTTAACATAATTGAAGTCCAGAGACATACACAATATATAAACACACATACATAAGTAAACATATATACATAAACCTACATAAATTTAATCTATACTAATATTATAAAGTTGAAGAGCTTGTTTGTTTGAACGCGCTGATCTCGGCAACTACTGGTCCGATTTGAAAAATTCTTTCAGTGTTAGATAGCCCATTTTTGGAGGAGGCTATAGGTTATATATCATCACGCTAGGACCAATAGGAGCGGAGCACCAATGAAGAATGTTGCAAAAACGGGGCAAATTTATTCCTTTTAAAAGACGCAGACGAAGTTGCGCGAGTTAGCTAGTAAAATATATGAATTAAAATGAATGAATGAATTCAAATTATACCTGTTGAGTGCATACGGTGTCTTATTTTCCTACATCTACGATGGATAAAGTGTTAAGAAACGATAAACGCCTACATACATCATCGTTGTATATTATTCGAAACAATAATAATTTTTTAACCATCTCAGTGTTACAGAGAGACTTTTTCAACTTTACCAAATTAGCTTACTGTTACATAATGGATATTACAACAGACCCCACTTTGGTGGTCATTACGAGAAGTGGCCAAATGACCAGCTAATGTTAGTAAATAAGGACGAATACCTACCGTACTTAATTTAACGGGCTTGGGAAAAAAGACGAATAGTGATGTTTCTTTTTGAGGTCTCTGTAACGAATGACTGGACCGAGTTAGTAATAATTTTGTTTTCCTACTACGCTGAGTGTTGTGGGTTCGATCCCCACATGGAACAACAGTTTGTGTGACCAGAAAATTGATGTTCTAAGTCTGAGTGTTGTTTTTGTCCGTTTCATGAATGTTTATAAAGTTCCCCCCGATACGGAAAAATAATTTAATATAAGTGATTTAACTTAATTGCGCCCGATATAAAAAAAATAATTAAAGAGCAATGTTGCTCGCATAAAATAGCTTAGGCACTTGACATTAGAATTAATTCATTAAAAAATTTCTTAACTTCATTTGTACGAAATTTACCATAGATACCATACATGCATCCATATCTATATCTCTGAAAGGGTAGACAGATCTTTATTAAACGTTGACTGCACAGATGGCTGGATAAAAAAGACAAAAAAAACGAGTGTGCTTTAGACCTCACGACTGAAGTAAAACTTCTTGGCTATTAGAGAAAGAGAGAAAAAAATTGTGTGCTCGCACCTCTCTCTCTCTTGCCCCTGCAGTAATATACGAAACGTAACTCTCTCTTTCTATCTTCACTAACTTCTATCTCCCTCTCAACTGCCGTTCCCCTCGCCCGATCACACTTTTCGTAACGCTCTCACCGGATTACTCCCCAAGTCAAGCGTGCGTAAAGAAGTTTTAATTCAAAAATACCAAAGGAAGGCAATGGCAACAAAGGGATATCCAAACTAATATTATAAAGCTGATAAGTGTGTTTGGTGAAAGCGTTAATCTCAGGAACTACTGGTTCTAATTGAATCATTCTTTGAGTATCGAATAGCTCGGGTAAGGGTATAGATCATCACGCTACGTTCAATCATCGCAGAGTATCATTGAATTTTTTTGCAAGTACGAGGATATTTTATTCCTTTTGAGAGATGGAAACGAAATTACACGGGTCAGCTAGTTGCTTATAAGAAAGGGTTAGGAATGTAAGTAAGTAAGTTCGACCAGAATGCCAATTCTCGTAATAACACTTCGGTCTCATTTCAGTTCCGATCAACTTTTGATCTCAAAATTCTCATAAAAGTGTATTCTCGTAGTAAAATTGTAAAGTATTACTGAGACTAGCAGATTATCATAATCACATCACAGTCAACGTTGGATATTTAATACTTTACTACGAAAATACTTTTTATGACAGTTGTGAGATCGAAGGTTGATTGGAACTGAATTGAGACCGAACTATTATCACGAGAATTGGCCTTCAAATCATACTTGGGTAGTTGTAACTCAAACTGACTGTTCCCATAATAAAGATTTTATTTTATACTAGCTTTTGCCGGCGACTCCGCCCGTGTATGACATATATATGTTATGGCGTTAAAAAGTATCCTATGTTTTTCCTCAAGAATCAAAGTATCCTCATACCAAATTTCCTCTAAATCGGGTCAATGGTTATTGATTCCCCATACAAACTTTCACACCCCTTTTTACCCCCTTACAGGATGATTTCTGAGATAAAAACCACCCTATGTCCTTTCCCGGGACTTGAACTATCTTTATACCAAATTTCATCTAAATCAGTCTCGAGGTTTAAGCGTGAAGAGGTAACAGACAGACACACTTTCGTAATTATAATATTAGTATAGATTGCATTAAAACCTTATGTAATGTTTTAGTTTCTATAACAGACATACCGAACAGTTTTCACAACATTAAGATTTAATTTATTAATAGCGAATATTCTATATTAATAATCAAACAATAATATTAGTGTTCTGGATTCTTAGTTTGTTTCTTGAAAACATTAATCAGTATTTTTATAATAATTATATAAACCCACTTTTATTTATGAGAAAAGTATAATATTTTGCGCAGATGGAACGCGGCGTCTGAATGACCTTATGTTTTAATTTATTATGTAACAGTCTTCAAGAAAAACAGTCTTTTAAAAACTGTGTATAATCACATACGTTATTAATTGACAGTTAATGTTCCTTTGAAGAGAAGAGCTGATATTGTAGGCCTCATATACCTAGAGCAGATTCTCTGACAAGGCGTAGAGATCATTTCTGGCGGTTGAAAGCAGCGGTACAGTTTTCTTTCTTTTAAAAGACAACTCCCGCCCCACGAATAAATACTGTGTCGCGAGGGACTTTACAAACATACATGAAACGGACACAAAGAACACTCAGACTCAGAACAACAATTTGTTGATTACACAAAGTGTTGTCCCATGTGTTGATTGAACCCACAACACTCAGCGCAGTATCAGCGGAATTAGTAGTTACTTACCTTAAATGACATTAACATTATTCAAAACCTTTATTAAGTTCTCTGTACGGCATGCAACCCATGGTAATGAAACTATTCAAAAAAGGATTATTGTAAATATACTGACGGAAGAACACTAACTCCCAAGACACAGGAATACCTAGTTTGGGAGTATGGTAAATAGTATTAAGTAAAAATTTGATGACATTGACAATTAATGACATTATTTGAATAAATAATTATTTGTTATTATTATGTTTTTCGTTGTATATGGAAATGAGAAGATATTTCAATACATCACATCACATCAACAGCCTATAATAATTCACTGCTGGACATAGGCCACTCTTTAGACAGGAGGATTTGGTCTACTATACCACGCTGGCCAGGCGGGTTGGTATAGGGTTTGTGTCAAATTTTAAGTAAAGGCTGTTGATGATGATGATTTTTTAATACGAATGAATTTAGAAATATTTAAGTATGTTTATCAACAGTCTGGTTACCATGGTACAGGCTCTGCCTAGTTTGGGATCAGATAGCCGTGTGTGGGATGTGTGAGGTTATTATTATTATACTAAATCAAAATTGATTTCTTTTTCTCCTTGTTTCAGTATCATCTTTACCAAGTCCCACAGCGGCTGATGATGATGATGACGAGGACGAAACGACACAACAGAGTCACGCAGACGCTGACGACGACGGCAGGGTATACAAGAACCCCAGGAACTCGCCGTCGGTTGTGTGTCCGCGTGATGAGGAGCAGGCTACGTTGTTGGTGAGATAACTTTCTACTATAAAACCTAGATAGTCATTTTGATTTTGACTGCACGGATGGCGCAGTGGTTTAAGCGGTCGCTACGCAGCTTCCTACTACGCCGTTTGTTGTGGGTTCAAACCCCACATGGGACGACACTTTGTGTGATCCACAAATTGTTGTTCTGAGTCTGGGTGTTCTTTCTGTCCGTTTCATGTACGTTTGTAAAGTCCCCCGCGACACAGGACGTATTCCTAATGCGGGTGTTTACTTTAAAAAAAATATGTCTAAATACATTGAAACTGCACTAAACGAGACACATAAGTTTAACTACTTACTCTAAAAGGCGGCGTTATTTGTTCAATATACATATGTGTGTATATTGAACAAATAATAATAAAGTAAATGCCACAGACACACGTCTGTGGCACTATAGCATTTTTATGAATAGACCGATTTGAATTACTTTGTTGTCTATGTAAGTTTTTTTTTTTTATGAAGATGATTTAATCTATGGTATTTATAGCTACAATTGAAATAACTCTTATTTACTCTAAACCTAAAAACTGTTTTCAAATCTTTGAAGGGATTTTTAAGTGGTTGTATATTAAATTTATGTAATGTATTTAATCAATTATTATTCACCTCTATTGTTAAGATTTATGATTTTAATCTAACAGACATAATAAAAAGAAGATTTTTGCTTCAGGGTCAAAAATGTCTCCGTAAGTGCTCGTCAGACGAGGACTGCAAGAGCAAGAAGAAGAAGTGCCTATGCGATGGTGCTTGCGGCATGTCCTGTATCAAACCAGGTCAGTGGTACTTCCCCAAGCGGTATCTTTCACCGCTGGCAAGAACAAAGCCGTTGATGGTGAAAAAACGCATTTATATCACGAAAAAGCCTTTATCGGATTATCTTGTAAAATAGGTACTTATTGTCATACCGGTATTTATTTCGCAATACCGGTATTTATTTTGCAATGCCGGTATTTTTTAAGTAATATAGGTATTGACTTTACAATACTAGTGTTTAAAGAAATTGCGGTATTTATTTCGCGATACCGAATACAAATGCCATTGTAAATAAACACAAAATAAATACTTTAAATAAGTGTAACACGTAAATGGGTAACTGTACCCAGATTGACCCCACGGGGTCTTCGTAGTATAGTTTAATGTTTTTAACCCATGCTGATAATGTATATTGGAAACAATAAATAAAACAATTAAAAAAATTGCCAGATATTCAATTAATCATGATAAAAAGAATACTAAATTAATATAATACAACTAGACTGACAGTTAATTATAAAAAAATATTGTGAAATTATTATTTCTTATTATATTGTAAAGCACATGGTGTTCCATCATCAGGTATACCTTCGAAAGGAACTCTCTGTAAAGAACACTTAAGGCCCAGTAAGGCCCTAATTAAATTTAAGGCAGACAGCGGACAGTTAAAAGGTACTAGCGTCGAGCATTGTCCCGCCGGTTGTCTGCCTCATCCTTTAAAGCTTTAGTTACTGTCTTACCACATATAAAATAAATCAAAGATCTTGTTGTAAATAATGATTAGTTTATAAATAGTAATAATGTGAAGCTAACATAGCAGTAAGCTTTGTAAACTAATCCTGAAGCCACAATAAATTACTTTGTTTTTAAATAGTACTATTTTTTGTTATTTTACAAGCTTCTTAATAATAATGATGAGGGAACCCACCACTCACCTATAGTCTTTTGTTTAATTTATTATCTTGTAGGCAACATAGATCCTAAAATAGTTTATGCTCTGATGGGAATATTGGTCAGTAAAAGGCATAAAGACGGAGTCAGACAGTGAGGTGATCGGGGCGGCGACGGTACGTGAGCGGTTGAAAAGCGATGGCTCTATGTGACATTTCTAAATTAGTCAATTTAGAAATGTCACATAGAGCCATCGCGCTGTTTGTCTAGTGGCACTGACCACTAATCCAGAGGTCGTGGGTTCGATTTCTAACCAGAACTAATAATTGTAGTATCTAGGTGTAATTTATCGATATAATATATCTTATGTCTCATGATTGTCTTGGAGTTCGGCTTACCTTCCATGATTTTAGCAAATCTTTTGGGTTTATATCTGTTGTCATCGTTGGGGCTTACAAAAGGAGGGTGAGTGGAGACTTACCCTCCTTTCTTTTTCCTCACCGAAGGTGGGAAAGGTACCTAGGAAGTATAAACACAAAAGATTGGCCTCTCTTCTCCAATCAAACACTTATGTTTCTTTGTCAAGTACATTATGGCGTAAGTCACACCAAGCATCACATCAACAACCTTTACTAGTCCACTGCTGGACATAGGCCTCTCCTTAGAAAGGAGATTTTGGCCTACTACACCAAACTGGCCAGACGGGTTGGTATATTGTGTCAAGTTTTCGTTCTCTCTGCAGTGCTGTTGTCCTGCGTAGTTTGCTCACTTAGTCGCCTGTTACGACACCTGCGGTATGAATAGGGTGGTGACGCTCTGTATTCTTAATCCGTCACCACACACACACATCATAGTTAGTGGAATTTCAGGTTATTTACGAAGCCGTTTCCAAACCCAAATAATACGAACGTAATCTGATCATTCATCGATTGAAAAGCATTCTTTCCAGAATAACTGCAAAGCGTTTTATCGTAAATACGCCATTTGCGATCGTACTTACATTACCATAATAGCCTCTAACATTGAATATTATGTTGAATACGCCACTTCTATCGATACATAACGCTTTTTTCCACTTTTATTATCTGTCCTAAGATACACTCAGTCACAAAAGTGTCTTTAGGATTTATATTCTGTATAATTCGAACTGTCAACACCTATTGTTGACAGTTCAGACACGGCGTTAATAAAATTTTAAGCTGTGGAGATTTTGCATATAAATATCATTCTTAATTTGCCAAAAAAATGGTATTTATAAATAGAAATAAATCTATCATGGAATAACTTATTTTTTTTTGTTGCCATGGTAATATTTTAACTAGTCTTAAACAAGTCAAATATTTAATTTAATTTAATTCAAATCGCAAATCCCTTATACCTATAGGTACTAATTTCACCAAAAAAATAAAGTATATATTACATTAAAGTACTATTACAATTAGAAAACTTAGATCAACATAAAATTTGTCAACAAAAACAGCATTACATTAGCTTAGGAACTATAAAGTTACTTTTTAACATTTATGTAAATATGTTTTAAAATTTTGCTTTGGGAGTCCAAAAATTTATCTGCATCTGGACTACACTGAAGACACTCATTGATAAGCCTAATTGCTATAGCAGTGGGGCTGTTGTAGGCCCGGGGAGAACGCCACGTAGGCGGACAGCACAGGAGTCTATGTTGTCGTTTTCCAACGCCACGCATATATTGATCAGGAACATACAACGGGGCTATCTACTTCAGAATCAAACAATAATTTATTATATGTGTGGATTCCCGCCTGAGTTGATGTGTATCTAAACCTACCATTTCTGACACAACCATTAAAGGAATACCGAATTTACGTTGAATTTTTTCTATCATAATAATATACAATGACTCCCATGGACCCCAAACTTTTCTAATTTACTACGGACATAGGCATTGCATATTTGTGTTATAAGTTGAGTGTTCTTAAATTGTGAGAATATTCTAATAATGAAATTAAGGCATTTATTAGCGTCTTTGCATGTTTTAATTACCTATCTGGTCATAAAAAAAATTATGTGCTATCCGTTATTACTCTCAAATCCTGGATTGAGACTCCTGACGTTCCATTGGTACGCCAGCCAGCCAAACGGTAATAGTTTTATATTTAGAATGATTAAAATGATTGTTTCTTGGCCTCCACTCAACTACAGCGTCAATATCATGTTGCACGGATGGCTTAGTAGTTTAAGCGGTCGCCACGCCGCTTACTACTACGCTGAGTGTTGTGGGTCCGATCCCAACATGGAACGACACTTTGTGTGATCCACAGATTGTTGTTTTGAGTCACGTAAGATTGGTATTCTTTGTGTCCGTTTCAGTGCGGAAGTTGTCTTTAAGAAAAAAAATTGAGATATTTGACACATGTACGATACAGATGCGGGATACGGGATATGGGACACATACATACGGGAGTAAAACCATACATGGCTGTAATGGGGTAGCTGGCTGTCAAGTCAATTCAGTATCTTTGTCAATTTAATATAAAATACTAAGACGTGACGTCTTACTTAACTTTTTCAAACCTTTTTTAAAATGTTAATTTTAAGAAATTAAATGAAGAATTAAATTGGTAATGGAGGACCATTTATGCTGTACTTTAAGGATGATTACAGACTCATTTGATGATTGAGATGGAATAATTTATTTTAAATATAGAAATTAGCCTATTAACTTCTAATATGAACTTAAACTTTGAAAGTGTGATATACAAAATATATAATAATATATAGAGTAAAACAGCAGACAGTGGGAGTGAGCGCTGTCGCGTCATAAGAAGTACTCCCTAAACCTACTCCTTGGTCGCAATTCCCAGGCGCTGTCGAAGTCGCACGTGTTGCCCCCATCTATCACGGACCCGGAACCCGTACGGTGAATCCGTGGAGCGCTAATAAATAGGTCTGTAACATTTTTGTGTGCGACTGTATAACATAGCGGAGTATTTGATGCTGACTGCGAATACTTGTCGTCGTTCAAATTGCATACTTGTAACTGTACGACTGGCGCTTATTGCGTTTTATCACTACAATACAAGTACATTCGTATGCAGGAATATTTAATTTTACAGGAATTGCAATTTTGCTACTTCGCGTTTGTAAAGTTTTTAAAGTTGGTTTTTGTACAATTTTTTTAGGGTTCCGTACCTCAAAAGGTAAAAAAGGATCCCTTATAAGATCACTTTCTTGTCCGTCTGTCGATGTGTCACCACCGATTTTCTCAGGAACGGGTAGACCTAGCCAGTTGAAATTGATGCTAGATACTGAGGTCTATGGTCTATTAGGTGTATAAAAATCAAGGTCCTGAGTCAACACGAGAAAAAGATATGGGCACATTTCGATTTTCGCGAAAACTAGTTATTTAATAAAAATGGTAGGTAACGCTTTTCGCCTAAACTTGACTTAACAATTTCTCTTTTTATTTATTTATATATTTGGTTAACTCACAGCACATATATGTAACATTAATGGTATAATCTAAGTAATAAGGTTCTGATATACATGCCACTTACGAGCTTACATAGCATTCACAGTTTAGACAACATATTAACAAAATCACATTGATTTATAGGTATTACAAACTTAACTTAACACTGGTCTGGTGAGTTAGTGGTTGCAGTAACGATCAGTACATACTTATCAGTTTTTATTTGTAAGAATCTTACAATTTTTCATGGTATTCTCAACTCAACTTTTGGTTAATGGCTTTGTGGTAGAGTGTAACCACAATTTCGCCAATGTCATGTATTTGAAAGACAAACTGTCAAAGGATTTTATGTAGAGCTGTGGTAGAGCCAAAAAAAATTTTGTGGATGAAAGAATAAGAATGAATAAATTGTTATCTTTTACAGGCACGATAAAACTAGTAAAATATATATACAGCTAATAATATATATACATATACAAAGTCATGGTATTCTCAAAGTAAACATAAAAAATGATAACATAACAAACTGTCCACAAGTGCATAAACAGAACCATCATTCATATGTCACGTGTGACGCGTCATAGAGAATTGTCAAACTTGTCATTTTATTTTTTAGTGGGCATCGGCAGCAAAAGTTTAATAATAATAATGGATTAGTTGCTAAGAGCCTCGACCAACATCTTCAGAGGCTCGCGTTAGGCAGTTGGATTAAGGGTCTGATGCAGAAAGCAGTTCTTCTCGATACGGCACGTATTGTGAGGAAGTTTCTGTCTCTGGAGTCCTAACCACAGATA